TCCCGCTCTTTGACACATCACCTAAAAGCGTTTTCCCCTGTCACAATTCGAACCCTCGAAACTGCAGGTATGGCTAAGCTACGGCTCGTCTCGGCCCAGACGCGTTTAGCACTGCAGCAAACTGCGCGGGGTCACCGTTTAGCGCCCCGTCAATTTGTGCCGCTTTTGTCGCCCGGGGCCTGCTTGGTGTTAAGCGTTGTTTTCTAGTATTGGGACAAGGAACGCCTCAATGCTCTAGGTGGGCAGAGAAAGAGAGAGAGAGAGAAAGCGATACAGACCCACTCGCTTCCGATAGCCGGGGGCAAACAGTGCTTGCGCCTGCGACGCGGAGTTGGCGATTCACACCATGTCTTTTCAGCTTTTTCTCGGCTTCCTGACTCGAAAAAAGAGGAGGGTGACACAGAAATATTTGAAGACGGCTTCTAGGGAAGGGTGGGTGGTTGGGGAATTGGAACGACTAGTGTAAAAATAACTTGTGATGTTGGGGGGGATTTTCAACGAGAACATTTAGAAATACTTCGGCTGAATACTGGGAATCATCCCATCTCTCTCTCTCGCCGTCTCTAAATCTCTCGCTCTCTCGATTTCTCTCTCCCTCTATTTTGCTTTCTCTCTCACGCGCGCTCCGCGGTTCCCTCAAAGAACCTCTGCTAGTTAGCCCCTTCAATCTCAGACGATTTGACATGAAACCTGGTAGTTCTAGTTCCCCAAGAGTTGCTGCTAGCTTGCCTTAAGAATTCCTCATGGATCTTTGCCAGCTTGCCTCTATCGACCTGCCCGGCTTTCTCAATTTCCGAAACATTGCGACCAACCGACTTTCAAAAATTCCCTCCCGCCCTTCCTATTACTTTTTCCCACCAAACTGACCCTATGTATCACATGCAAATAGAACATTCCTCGACGGCCACCCCGGGTAAAATACAACGCATCCCCCGGGGTAGCCTCGTGTAACGTGATACCCCCGAATTTCAGGGATGCTCGCTGCGGAGCCGGGTGCCTATATTTGTGCGCGATCCGGGTCAGATCCGGCCCGGCTAAAAAACACATGCCCAAAAATAGGCATGGAAGTCGGGGAATCCATTTTTTTAAATCGAAGGTGATAAATCGGCCAGACGGCAATATGTGGATACCGTACAGTTTAGAAAATTGCTGGAATTTAGAAATGTAATGACTAGCTGGTTTAAAGGATCGGCAACTGCGACACACAACGCACAAATTAGCGCCACAATACCGACAACGGAAATTCTGATAGGCAAAAATACCAACAACCAAGATTCTGATGGGCGAAAATCGCGTCAATCAAAATTTTAATAGGCCAAAATTGAGGCTGCCAAAATTCTGATAGGCCAAAATACCAACAACAACCAAAATTCTGATAGGCGAAAATCCCGATAATCGAAATTCTGATAAAACGAGAGGCAGACAGCCAAAATTCTGATAGGCCAAAGCGAGAATACCGACATATTCTTTGAATGCCAAGTTGTCTTAAACAGCTATTTTCACGTCGGGACGGCTATTCCTTGTCGGGATTTTTCCTTTCAGGATTAGCCACAAACCACTAACCGCAACGCACAAGGCGCTTGGACGCTATTTAGAGGTATTCTTACATTTCCTAGTGGGAAGAAAAGTGCACGTGGCAAAAAAGGCAATCTAAGGGTCAAAAAATCTATGGTAATGCCCCCTCCTCTGCCTTAATAGCGCCAAAAGCTGAACAACACCCACCTCTTCACAAAACACTGATGCGAAAATCGTGCAGACGACGAGGGCCCATAAAAGCCGGCGCTCCCTCATGGCCTCGGGAAGTGTGCGGGGCGCGCTGGCTTCTGCGTGTAGATCAGCAAAATTCGGGGGTGCGTCCAAGCAGTGCGGGGGCCTGGAAGGGTGTGTACGGTAATTCAGAATGACGTAGAGAAACAAGAAGAAAAAATTTAATCAGCGAAAAAAATACCGTGATTTTATGTAAAAAAGAAAGCGAATAAAGGTTATTATTTTTAAGAGCTGTAACAGAATTAAATATAAAGTAAAACCTGAAATACACAAACAACTAGATTTGGATAATAGGTTTATAATGTTTCTGAACAAAATCATCTTAAAAATTCCCGTATACAAAAAACCTTGAAAATGATGGACTCATCTTGCATAAAAAGCGTTTTTAACGCTTTTCTTATCAAAAAATGTTTTTAAAACAACTAAAAAGAAAAGAAAACTTTTCCTAAAAAGAGTCTTTACAGAAACATAAAAATTCCATTATTTTGGCGCTTAAACGATAAATTAATGGCTCTTTAAAGGCACCGGAAGTCCGGGAAAATCCCCTGCTCCAGGGCGTGGAGTGATCGTTAACAGGAGCCAAGTGTAGAGGGCCAAATGTTGTCCCCCCTGGTGTGTCCCGTTTGGAGGGCCCGGAAGGGGGGTGGGGGGAAGGGTCCTGGAGGGAATTCTCCAGGGCGCTGCTTGTAGAGCACAGCCCTTTTTGTTTCGGGGGGCTTGTTCGAGAGGTGGGGGGCAGGCTTCTGCTGGGGACACATTCGGCCTGTGGGCCCTTCGGGGGTCCACCCCCTGGTTGGACATGCAACCCGCAAAAAATGGCAACACCTTCGGGATTAACAAAGCGCGAGAGGTGGACGATACGCGCCCATGGACGCTGTGCAGGCTCGTTGGAAGATGCAACAATGAAGGGAAGTACCATGGGCTTCGCGTGATTTTTTAAGGGAGCGATATAGAGATAGCGAGAGAGAGACGTAAAGTCAGAGAGAGAAAGAGAAAGCGAGAGAGAGCGAGAGAGAGAGAGAGAGGGATAGAGAGAGACAGAGATCGATCGATATAGAGCAAGAGAGAGAGAGAGAGAGAGAGAGAGAGAGAGAGCGAGAGCGAGAGAGAGAGAGAGAGAACTAGAGGGAAAAAAAAATCGAAAGAAGCTTCGAAAAAACCTGTTCGTTCCTTTAAAACAATGAGCCTTCCTTAGATTGTTTCGCAGGCAAAGGCTCGTCCGTTAATCGGCTACTCCTGCTTGCGCGATGGCACCTTATCAAAAAAACGACGAGAAACCCGAGACAAAAGATTTAATTTGAGTTTAAAGGGGCTTGGAAGGGCAAAAATCGACGTCTTCCATCGTTTGGGTCTCGACAGCAACGTGACAAACGCGGACCATGTGATTCCGAAGTTTCGTTGAACCATATTCGTGTTAGGTTAATTCAGTCAAGCGTGTATTGGCGCCTCGCGTAGCTGTCTAGACCTAGTCGACGCAAGAGTCGATTTTCGCGATTGACAAGGCTTGTCGAGCTCACTATCACTGAACGGCCATTTTCTTGCATATATCCGGGAAGCCATCCCTCGAGAGTCTGGCCAGATCCCCTGCCCGAGGGGCGAACAATCATAAACACACACAAACAAGCAGACAGTGAGACCAACAGACATACAGACAGCCAGATGGACATGGGCCGAGAAGATGATTGTCCGCACTCAGAAGCCGCCGGATCTGCCCCGTGCGAAGGGCCATGAGGGTGATGAACAAGGAAGACAAGACTAGAGCAAAAAGTGGGGAGAGTTAGAGAGCAAGAGAGAGAGAGCGAGAGAGAGAGAGAGAGAGAGAGAGAGAGAGAGAGAGAGAGAGAGTGAGTTAGCGAAGGCAGACGACATCCATTAGAAGTGGACGATGTGCTCGAGAAGCGGGAATTCGGCACGTCTTTGTGCCGACTGGAGAGCGACGTCTGGTCGTGAAATTTTCGGGATGAGGGAGCAGAGATCAAGTCCGGAAGGGACGCAGCTTAAAGGTATTGGCAACAGAAGTAATCGAAGCCTGCGTTGACTAGGTCTTGACATCCACGAGAAAAGCCAAAAAGACAGGATAAAGTCAGCGCTCCAAGGCAGTTGCTAGAGATGACCAAGCTAAGCGTTTTGGCGTGAAGCGTTTTTGTCTAGACCTAGTCGATTTTCGGGGCGATTCGCAATCCTTCGGAGTCTAGTTAAAGTGACGGAGACGACAAAATTTGCGTTGCTGCACTGGGTTGAAGACAGAAGCGGTAATCAAGCACGCCGCTGGCGTGCGAGATTGAGCGAGAGAGAAAGAGAGAGAGAGAGAGAGAGAGAGAGAGTGAGAGAGAAAGTTAAAGAAAGGCGAAGTAAAGTAAGCCACCAGATAACAAAACCTCCTCTAAAAATAATAACAAAAACAAAAACAAACAACCCGCTTGGTTACGCAATCAATCGACGGTATCGGTGGGCGTGAAGGCCGGGTGATGTGGATGATTCGTGGGGTGGACGCGGGCCGAGATGACAGCTTCCTTTCCGCACCTGTACACGGACCAACCGCGGGTCCGATAACCGGGGGCCCCAGGAAGGGCCCAGGCTCGGCGTATTGAAAAAAGGGGATGGTGACTATATGCTAGGTGACTGGACAGGTGGCATCTGGAAATAGATGATGAAAAAGGTGGGCAACACGTTATCAATGGGCGTATTTCAGGTTTGTCGGTGTTTTTAAGGTACTTGGAAGTCCATTAATTTACCCAACCTCGTAATAAGCTTGAATAATTGTAAAAAGATTTCTGCTAAGGAGGCATTTTTAGTGTCTGTTTTTTTGTAGTTTAGCATTTTTAGCGTCGAAATCTACTAGGTTTGGCCTGTACAAAATTTTGCGAAAAAGGCGTGAATTGAGCAATTTTTGACGCTTTCCACACTCTAAAGCAGCACAAATTTCTTCCCGTCTCTCTCTCCTTCCCCTGTCCCGTCTCTCCCATGGCGTACTGGTCTATGGCGCTGGTCCCAGCCCGGGTTCGGTTTTGCCGGGCGTTTAGCACCTAAAGTAACCTTGCATGCTAAAGTCTTGACTGTTTCAAGATCTGGAAATTATCAACGAGAGCGGAATGTCCCTTTAACAGCTTTCCTCAGTTCATAGCTTTTATTATTTTTTTGGTGTTTAAAGCATAAATCTTTATTACCCGAATATAGTCTTTGGAATGACAGAAGTATGATAATGTTGATCAGCTTGTCTCAATTCTCGATCAGCCCTTCCAATAACTTTTCCACCGGTTCCAGAGCACCTAAAATTAGGCTTGGTATTTTTTGCCCTCGACTTTCTGTTACCTACTGTAGCTTTATTTAACCTTATGTATGGTACATAAATTTACGAGCTTTTAATGAGGCTCACTGAACGTAAATCCTACAGTGCGCACCTGACTCATGTAAGGAGTAACGTCGTAGCTGACGCCATTCTCGTCCGTGATCACCTCGCGATGGTATACCTAGCAAATGGTGCATTTTCATAACAAGAGTCCAGCAAGTTCTAGGTGGAGAGAGAAGGAGAGAGAGAGGGAGAGAGCAGAGCGAGAGAGAGGGAGAGAGATAAACACGCTAATCGATCTTATCGTACCCTGGCGTAAACATCAGGGTCGACGCCGGCGGGTAGCGCGCGCGAATCCTGATTGCCGATGTAGCCCAGGCCGATGGTGTCACCCACACGGATACCTGAACCTAGGTGTGTAACGAAATTTCTCTATGAAAAAAGGTGCGTCCTTTCCAAAGAAAATTGTTTGGGCATCCAAGAATCAGCTAAAAGTCAAGACGAAAAACTTCAAAATATCTGAATTCATGAAGTACAGTGCAATACAGATGAAGCATAAAAGCTACCTAAACTATAAAAACATACCGTAACTTTGCGAAAATAACAATAGCAGGAATACAAGAGTCAATAGGTTGAGCCGCTCGTGACTACTCATCCCGAGACGACTGATCAACCCGGGAGTCGGCATGGGCGAAAGAGAAGGAAGAAGAGAGAGAGAGAGAGAGAGAGAGAGAGAGAGCAAGAGAGAACCAAAGTCAGCAGCTAACGGAAATGAAGGCCACAACAACACCCCACACAGCCCATCACTCGTTTTCGCGGTCAGCTGGGCAAGAGGAGGGGAGGATTTTTCGGAAAACGGCGAGGATCTCAAGGTGAAGGAGGGGGAAGCCGGGTTATGAGTGTGGTAAGATGCCGTATTTTTTGCGATTTGGACACTCATTAAGCGGGTTGCAAGGAGCTTAGAAATATAAAAAATTGGCGTGGTAAGAAAGTGCAAATGTACCGTCAAAAAAGGCATGTGACCATTTTACTATATATTTACGATATGAGAATTTTACGGCTAAATTGTGACGGGCGTTTTCTACTTCCAAGCTATAAAGGTGAAGCATTCGCAGTCGGCAGTGAACTTAGACCTTTTCAGGAAAAATCCGGGTCTTAAGGGCCGACCAATCTACCCATGACTTCCATCAGATCGCGAGAACTACGGGACGCCCCAAAATACGCAAAAAACAGCATGACGATCACTCCGGAAACCACAGCAAGACATAAAAACCACTCCTGTGTTTGTCAGTTCACACACATACTGTAGAGACCTAAAAGATGAATGAATGGGGCCGATTGTCGCGCTTCCGAGTCCCTTTAAAAATTGTCTAGCTTTTCCATAATGGTTGGTGTTTTGAGAATAGATTTCCGGCTAAAAAGTGGCTGGTTTTTTTGCTGCAAAACGTATAGGTGCGACTTTCGTAGTCATCATCAAATTAACACACCTTATCCACGAAAAAAATTGGGTCTAAAGGGACTGGGAAAACCGACCAGGATTCCATCAGGCCATGTGTACTCCGTGACGTTCCAAATTACGCCAAACCCCCCCCCCCCCAAGTCAATTTTCCGAAACGCCACTTAACAAGAAGCTGTTAAGAACGGATTGACCTCGTCATTTGGCTCATCCTGTAGCGGTCGAGAACGAGTCACGTCTCGCCCTTTAAACCTCTCCTAGTCCCTTTAAACGTTGTCTAGCTTTTCTCCCAAATATATTTCACAATTTGCATACCATTCCGAATTTGAAGACGGCTGAGTCATTGGCGGATTGGCCAAGCCGGGCCTCGGCATCACCCCCAAAAGTTGTGGGCATAATCCATCCAGTAAACACTTACTCATCCCGCCCCGAAAGTCGACAGAGGGAGTCGAATACAAATACAAATAATCGGAATCGGAGAGCCAGAGCTTGTGACCACATTTTCATGGATCTCCTCCATACCTCTATTTTCCATGATTTAGGAACGTCGGATCTACGTTTTGGCCCTGTGACGGATTCAGTACCGCAATTTCCAGCACCTCAAATTTTTTTGCGTTATTCCTCGAATTTCAAAAATCAACATTCAGAGTTTTATTAACGTGCCTTTAATCGTTTTTGAATGTTTTCGAACGAGACTTGATCCGCATAAAATGAATACGCCGCATTTTTATAATTTTCAAGAGCTTCAGATGCACTTTCTGACTCTCCTCGCCTTGGCCGCCGTCTTTGGAGCCACCGTAGCCAACCTTCAGTGCTATTCGGATTATAACGCGAACGGCTTCCAGCATACGAGCAGCGTAAGTCTATTTCCCGAAATGGTTTCTAATTCCCGAAAAATTTGATGGTTTTGACGTTTTCGTGACCATCTAGTCCAAATTCGACGAAAAACTAGCTATCAAAAGCCGAACTACAAATTTCAGAAAACGAAGCAAACCTGCGGAGATGGATGCAAGTTCTGTAAGAAGACGTACAGTCAGGTGGGAAGGTTTTCTATGACCTTAAATTTAAATTTTCAGTTGGGAGGGATCAATGCCGCCGAATGGGGTTGTGGCTGTGATGCGACTGGACAATCTTTTGAGATTTGCACGGTAAGCCGTCTCTCTTTCTCTCCTCTCTCTCTCTCGTTCTCTCGCTCTCTCGCTCTCTCTCGCTCGCTATCTCACTCGCTCCCAGCAAGGCGCTATGGCCGGATTTCTTTCAATGTAAGTTTTTCCTTTTTCAGGAAAAGGGCAAATTCGACCGTTCTCCCAACAACAACAACCAAGTCGAGCTGAACTGCTGTACCGGAAATTTATGCAACGCGGCTGAGCGTAGCTCGCTATTTACCGTACTCACCACCGTATGCTCGGCGTTGGCCGTCGCTTTGATGAAATAAAATGTTTTGCTTGAAAGTGGCATAAAGCGACACGCGAAGAGATCATTTTGGAATTGAAGGGACACACGAGCAGAGATCATTTTGGAATGGAAGGGGCAGGCTAGCAGAGATCATTTGGGAATGGAAGGGGCAGGCTAGCAGAGATCATTTGGGAATGGAAGGGGCAGGCTAGCAGAGATCATTTGGGAATGGAAGGGGCAGGCTAGCAGAAATAGTTTGCTGTTTGAATTTGAGCCGGTGATGGCTACATCGGCTTTTTTCCAACGCGACGAACTGGTTGCCGAGATGGCTCCACGGAATCGACTACTTTCACTTTGATTAGAAGCCGAGTATAGGGGATGACTGGTTCCGCCGCGATCCTCTGTGCACCCTGGAAAGGCACACGCAAGTTCTGTCCTGTGGTTCTCGAGTGGCATATATGGATCGAAAGCTGCTATTGCTAGCTGTAATTTTTGGAGTCGTCACCACTTATCATCGTAAGTTCAGAAAACCGAAAAGTAGACTTGAATAAGCCAGAAAGCTAAGAAACAGCCGTTACCGCCGACTCCCGTTAGACCTCTGGACGGCTACGTAACACTCCAAAAGACGGGTGCGAGCGCGTATCTGTTGCGCGCAATTTTTGTTCTCCCTTCTGAAACGCTAATCATCTGAAATTGACGCGGAATCTGAAGTAAAAACCTGGCTGTCTAGACCTAGTCCATCCAACCGGTCGATTCCCGTACTTTATGGCGCCTTTAAGGAGCCAAGGAAAAGGTCAACATTTTCAGAATATCGCGAAGTAATCTGTAAAACGAAAGACAACCGAAACCGGGGCGGCCCCGACAAGGCAAAGTGTCTAATTAACATAAAAAATGAGGAGCTGGACCGCGGCAAGGATGGGCCGTTGGGAGCTGGGTGTTTTACGGTAGGTATCTAGTTTTCTCCCTCACACGCTCTCGCTCTCTCTCTCGCTCTCTCTCTCGCTCTCTCTCTCGCTCTCTCTCACCGTCTCTATTGTCTTGCTCTTTCGCGTGGTTGATGCGGTTTCCCTTAGGAAAAGCCAGGACGAGGAGAACCGAAAGAAATCTGCGACCTCGTCTGCCCGAAAGCACATACCGTCTTCGTGGCCCACATCGACGTCGGACATCGGGGTTGCTTCAACTACTACAACTACGAGTTGGAACAGGTGCCTTCAATGGCCCTTTAACACACATAAAATTATTTTTTAGCGCAAGAACGAGTGGTTCCTGATGAGGAGCGGGGAATGCGCTAATTCTACTATTACTTTCAGGTAGGTTTCAGGTTGATACTGGCTAAATTTTGCTGTCACTATCCCTTTAAAGGGCTAGAAAGCGCCAAAATTTCGATCTCTTCCAGCAGCTAGGTCTAGACAATGACGCGAATATACATATTTCACTCTTTCGCCCTGGAAACGAGGCTTTTGCCAAAGGTGCGCGTTTGTCCGCGTAGTTTGGACCGTTGCGTAGCTGTCTAGACCTAGTCGAATCAAGGGATCGATTCTCGCGCTTCCTAGCTCCTTTAAAAGCCATTTTTCCTTTTAGAATTGGGTGCAAATTCGATGATCCTTTCAACGTTACCTTCAAATCCGACAATGAAGTATTTTCACACCTTCGCGCTCGCTCTAGGGCTAAATTTGCTAAGTTCTAAATTTAAATAATAATTCGCGTTTAAAAGTGTATTTTCTTAATGTATGTTCTTATTTATGAAACGGCAATAAACTCACTACAAACTATAGAATCCAAGGTACAAAGACAATTACAAATTGCAGAGCAAAAAACGATCGATTCTAGGCAATAGTCCTGAAAAAACGCGCAATATTTCTCAATTAAACTTACATAAACTGCAGTAAAAAAAATCAAAATTATAATACATCAAATGGCGGGCGAGAAACAGGCGGGAACCCATAAAAATACAGTATGCAAAACGGGGTTATATAGAATTGAGGAGTTCAAGCTCAAAAATGAAAATCTGAAAAATTTGACGGTTTTCGGCAGTTTAAAGATGGAAAAAAAGTATAAATAATAGAATTTAATCCTCTTCTTCATTGAACGAGTGCCGCCGCGTCGCTTGAGGGCTGAAATATGCAAATGTATACGAGATTTCCTTGGAAGGTTAATAGACGGGAACTGACAGCTTGGGGTTGCGGAAGCGTAGCGTGTCGCTCTCTCTCTATCTCTCTCTCTCTCTCTCTCTCTCTCTCACTCTCCCTTTCTGTCTCTCTCTCGCTCTTTTTTCTCGTTATCTCTATCTATCTCTCTCACTCGCAACCGCAACGCAGCCGCGCCGCCCAGCTGCCAGTCCCCTTTCAATACCACGATTTTTAAAGGATGTAAATACAGGAGAATGTTGAGGGTTAATCAGAAAATGGAAGAAAAACCGATTTGGAAAAATTTTGAAAATATGTATTAAGGGCGAATTAAAGGGACAGGGAACTTTTGATGGTGCGGACGACATGCCACGGAGAGCCACTGTTTTATGCACAAATTTTCTCGTCGGCGGGCTCACTTTACCTTTTTTGACAGAGCTCAATTCGCCACCGCCTCAATGTTGCTAAATTTGCAGAATTTTCTGTGAATGGAAAAAGGGATTTTCCTTTGATTACCTCGATTAGGTTTTGGGAGCTTTTGCATTATCGGGGGGGCGCGGCAACTTTTCGGTTAGGATTCAAGTTTGCTAGCATAAACAAGGCAAAACTCGCTCCTGCAAAGCTATCGATTTTCCACGAAAATTCAAAACTGATCGAAACCAAAAATGGCCATTTTACGGCAGAAATTTTAGGTTGCCAAGGCTTTTTCGAATCTTATTCGGTGGTATTTGCACTCAAAAGAAGTTCAATTAAAAAAAAACTATTAAAATTACAGCAGAATTTCCGCAAAATTCTGCCCCCCCCCCGATAATGCGAAAGCTCCGAGTTTCAGATCTGGCAGATTCGGCGCGAAAGCGGATATTTAAAACAGTCGTGCCTTGCCTGATGGTTTAAGGAATAGTTCTACAAATTAGATGGTTCTACAGGGTCCGACTAGAACGTAAGAATAGATCGATAGTCCAAACCTCAGTTTTACACGAGGAAATCACACTTAAATTGCGATTCTGAAATAACTCTGGATCTTAAAAAAAAGTAAATTAAACGGTTACGCGAGCAAATTTGGAGCCGGCCTATGCCTAGAAAATCCTGCGAAACAACCCACTTCAATTCCGAATATCTTCGCAAATATTTCGTCTCCTCGAAGCTCTGGCGGGCAATCTTGTCGTCTGTCTCCTCGTGCTTCCGCAATCGCGTCCTAAAATTCAAAATGTAATTTGTAGTCTGTAGTCTATCGTCAGGCAACGGAACACAAACTAGTCGAAGAGTGATAGGGGGAATTTGGGGACGCGCCAAATTCCGTATCGCTACGCTCAGCCCCGAAGAAAGACCGCACAAAATATCTATTATGTAAAACGGAAGCCATCTCAAAGGCAGCGCTATATCCAATTTGCATATTACACATCGGCTACGTCTTTTTTGGTGAATTTGAATATTTTAGGACCGATACGCTATCATAAGAGGTGTTGTTTGTTTGTTGAAAGGTCAAGCCGCAGAAACTTTGGAGTATCGAAATACCATAACGTCAAAATTTTTCGAAGCGGATTTCGAGTTTTTGCTGGGAGATTTGGGTATGCAAATTTCGACGTTCTGTAATTTCGAAATGGCTAAATTTGGACATTACTAATTTCGGCATTATAAATCTGGATTTTCGTTATTTTGAAAATATCCCTTTAGGGCCTAATTTGAGTTCTCGTACATAAAATTTAATGATTGAAGGCCTTTTATGGTAGATAATAGCACCAAATCTATCAAATCAGCATGCAAAAACTATCTATGAATGTAGCAAAAACTGATAAAGAATATATTCAATAATTCTTATATTTAAAATTGTGTAAAAATTCACACAAAAGTGCCGAGTTAAAAATAATCGTACTATAAAAGGTGAGTCGGATTATCACGCCAAACGTTTAAACAAACCAAAAACTATCTTTAAGATAAAAAATTAAATAAAGTCATGTGATTGTAAGGGAAATCAAAAATATGACAACAAGGTTAAAATCTATTTAGAATTAAAATATTTAGAATTAAAAGTAACTCGGGATGATTTCAGACAACTTCAAAACTTGGGGGAGCATGACCTGGGGGTCCAAAAATACAATTTGGGCTCCATATACCCATAGTAAAAACTTACGCATCGTCACGCCACTTTTGTCTAAAAATCGATTACAATTTTCATAATTGTAAATTTGATATTTTAAAGGGCGCTGGAAGGCAAAAATTCAATGCGGTATACACTTGGCAAACGTCCAATTTTCCCGGAAAGCCACATAAAATTGGAAAAAACCCGTTTTGGAGCCCTTCTGACGCCGGGTGCCTTTCAAAAAAAAAATTGGCTTCTTGTC